AGTGACAGTGAGGAAACCACGAGGATCCCTCCAGTGTCACCCAAATAAACGCTTGTCCCAACTAGAGACTTCAAAGCATAAATTGTCCTCCTCACTTGGGGGTCTGGAAAGAGCCCCTTGTTACTCTCTGCTCATATATTAGCCAGCTTCTGCTCAGTAATGCTGTATAAGAAGCATCTGCACCACCAGATCTCGGTCCTCTCACCTGGGGCAGGTCTGGGACACGCCATCCTCATGGTGAGACAAAGAGCGAGGAACATCGGGGACACGAGGGATCCTAAGATTCCACGTGGGCTGGCGTCTGTCCTGCCCATCTTTCCCCGGCCACACCAATCACATGGCCAAGCTGGTCATCAGGAGAGAGAGTGGGGTCCTCCCAGGAGAAGCAAAGCCAGTCCCCTGGGCCGGGCAGGATGGATTAACTTCCTTAGCTGAACAGCCTCTCCTGGGCCCTTTGTAGGAAGAGGCAGCCAGACCATGAAATTCAGGCAGCTCACTGGGCCCCTGCAGACCAAGCCACATACTGATGCCACAGGCCACCAGCGCCTGGGGGTGCCCGTACCCCCTACCCCCGTGGCAGAGGGGTTTAGTGGCCGGGCAGCTGCACACAGCCTCTGAGCCTTTGGGGGTCATGTGCCAGACCAGCTCCCGGGCCCAGTTCTCTCCCCTCCCCAGCCCTGCCGGATGCACTGCCCAGGCAGCGGGATGGCCAGGCAGCGGGATGGCCAGGCAGCGGGCAGGGGCGTGGGGTGTTCTTTGCCTCAAAGTCCGGGGCGTTATTCACAGCCTGGCTGTTCCTCATGTATAGGAGCCTACAGGACAGGCTGCCCAGTCTATGGCAAACAGTAGCCCTGACCTGTGCACTGGCTGTAAGGCTTTCCTTAGACCAAGGCCCCCTGTGTGCCGGCCCCTACCCGGGAACGGGGAGGGGACCCCATCACTCTTACCTGAAACCCCGCCTGGTCCAGCCCTCCATCCGCTGCCCAGTGACCCTTTAAAAGTGCAAATTGGTTCCCATCATAGGCAGCTCCTCCCCTGAAGATTGAACCCCACTTCCTGGGCGGGTCTCCAGGGAAGCTGCCCCTCCCCCAGGTAGCCGCAAGCGCCCTCAGCAGCAGTGCAGGGGTCACCGTGTCAATAATGCTACCCTGCGTCTGTCAGGCTCGGTTATTAATCTGCCTCCCATCTGCCCCTCTCCGCCATGAAAGGCACTTAATAAAGACCTGGGGGTACGAGGACAAAGACGTTGAGGCCCAAGCCCAGGCCCCGCATGGCGGGGTGGGGGGGGTGATGGGAGGGCACTGGCCACGGCACAGCTGGACCCCTCACCCACCAGGAAGCCCTACCCTGGGGCCGGAGCGGCCTGGAGTGTAGCCAGGAGCCCTTCTGGAAGCGTCTCCTTGGCCAGCGCTGTCCGAGCCCATCCAGGGAGCACAGCAAGGGCGCTGGAGCAGACGCCCTAACACAAATCTTGTACTTGGCGCCCAATTAGCACGTTTGGCACATGGTCAGACCCCCGGGAAAGCAGCCCCAGGAGAGAGCTCATTACCCATGACAGCGCATCTGGTGCCGCGAGGCCCCAGGGATGAGCTCGGGGGTGGATTTACGGTTGCTGCTTTTTGTCCTTTCCTGAGGGAGACAAGAGTCTTGGGACCCCAGAAGAGTGCTTCTGAGGCGCCATGTGCCTGCCACCTGCAGTCAGGGCAGAGGCCACCTCCTCCCGGGGCCCCTCTCCTGGCTCCCGTTTCCACAGCCATGGGCTGGGGGACGCTTTCCAGCTCGGGTGAGAACATCTGGGAGCGCATGGCCCAGTCTGGCCCTCCGCAGCCGGAGGGAGTGGTGGCCCTGCTCCCGGGTGTGGAGAGGGGGCCAGAGCCCTTGCCGGGTCCAGCTTGGATGTGGCTGAGGGGAAAGGTGGCCACAGTCTCCAACCCAGAGCCAGGCGCCACCCAGAAGCAGGAAAGCAGAGCAAAATGGCAACCCTAGGAAAGGTGCCCCAGAGCTGGGGCCAGGCGGGCCTGGAGGCGGGGCGAAGGGGGGACTGGGGGTCAGTTTCGTCCGAGCCTTTGGCCTGGACCAGACCCACACGGACGTTTCCCTCTTCAGCCCCAAATCCTCTCTGCCAGGGATTTATTCATCTGGCCATTCCTTCATTCAAGCTCTTAGCAGCCTGGGCCCCTGGTGGGTTGGAGCCTGTCCTGCACCAAGGACCCTGCGGGACACCTGGAAAGGAAAAGGCAGCACAGCCTTGATGCCTGTTGGACATTCACATGGGGAATGCGAGATGAGTGGAGGGGAGCAGACCCGGGGGAGGGACCCTGGAAGGACAAGAAGGAGGGAGAGGGGTCAGAGAGGGAGGAGGACCAGGCCCGCGGGATGCCGGCAGCCGTGGGAGTATGGCCAGTGCCGCCCCAAGTGCCGAGGCCAGGTGCCTGAACCCCGAGGCTGCCCATCAGATAGGGCAGCCCCGCTGAGCCCAGATGCAGTGGCCGGGGATGGTGGAGGGTGCCACCCTCTTAAGAAGCTGCCTGAGAAGAGAATGAAAATAATTGGACCTAAATCAACAGAGGGGTTCGTTCATATGTGGGCACCTCCCAGCAGCCACGAGAGGCCTGTGGCCACATGCCCCAAAGAGAGTCGTGAGGTCAAGTCACCCAGTACCGGTGGCTTGCACAGCCACAGGTCCTGGGAGACCAGCGTGTTGGCGGACGCTCAGCCTCTGTGTCAGATCTCAACCTGGTGGACGGGCTCTTCCTTCAGGAGGAGAAAGGTGAGGCCAGCACAGTTAAATGGTAAAAGAGACTCAGGTTTGTACAACAAGAACGCATAGTATAGCTCTGTACACTCCTCTAGGGCTATTACATTTAACAAAATACATAACCTTTAAAGAAGTGAAGGAGCTGGGGTAGGGCGAGCTGGGGGTGTGGGGAGGGGCTCTGCAAGGTGGGAGAAGCCCACCCAGCCCAGGCTGGGGGAGGGGCTTCAAGTCCAGTGAAGCCAGAGCATCACAGAGGATGGGGGAGGGGTGGGAGGCCCCCAGAGTTCTGGGAAGGGGGGCAGCTGGGGCCCCTCGGCCTGCCGGCTCCCAGGCCTCTGCTGCTTGTTTCATGTACCTTCGGGGGCCCCTCCCACCCACCAACAGTCCCCGCCTCCCCGGGTCTTGCCAGGATGTTCCCATGGACGTCCCTTCTGGGGCCCACATGCCCATGGTGCCCTTTGGCTCAGGGTGTCTGGAGCGTCTTAGCAGTGCCATCTCCCTGGGGGAGCACGGGCTCCGGGAAACCCTCTGGAGCCTGGGCCTGGGTGCATGTTCATTCTTTGGCCCAGCAGCACTTAATCAGCCCTCCAGGTGGCTGGAGCGCGGGGGGGCCCTGCAGCCAGGTGCTGACTCTCTGGAAGGTGCTGCCGTGCAGAGGGGCAGGCCAGCCTGGTGGAGGCTGGGGGTGAGGGTACAGCCCAGAGCCGAGGGAGCAGGAAGTGAGCCACAGGAAGACGGGGGGGACAGCGGTCCAGGGGCCGGCGGAAGGCAGGGTGGCAGCAAACGGACCAGTGTGGGGGTCAGAGGGATGCGAGGCCACAGGGGGCCTCGGTCTGAGGCACACGGGCCGCTACGTGGGGATTAGACCGAGTTGGAGCGTGGTGCGCGGCACTCGGCCCTAATGTAGGTGGGAGAGGGGTGAGGCGGGGCCCGGTGACCAGCTGGGTCTCCCCTACCAGCCACCCGTGCCCCTCACCCCAGGCCCCGCACACCCTCAGCACTCAGTGCTCTCGCTGCCTTCAGACAGTGAGCGTCACTGCCCTGGTGGCACTGGGAGTGAGCAGGGCAGCCTCCACTCGTGCCCCTGCGCAGTGACGGGTGTCCGCCAGCCGTCTTTCCGGGGGCCAGCCAGTGGAGGGCGCCCAGCGGGATGGGCAGGGGTCTGGTCTTTCCCTGTGGCTCTGGTGTTTGCTGGGAGGGGGTGGGATTTGCGCCAGCAGGGCTCCTTCAGCATCTCTAGAACTGGGAGTTCCTGCAGCTCCAGGGCCCAGATGACCGCGCCTCTGCCCCTTCATCCCAGAGCTGCTGGCAGCACTTGGTTCTCTTGACCTACCAACCCTGGGTCAGCAGCCCCCTGAATCCGCCCCCAGGTGTGGTCACCTCCTCAAGCTCCCAGAGGCTGAGAACTGCTCACACATGGGAGGACAAGGCCAGGGCCCTTTGCCCTTTGCAGGAAGCCACCGAGCAGGTAGCAGCTCCATGACTTACCAGCCCCACAAAATGACAAATTTTTCCTTTGACGAGGCTTTTTGCCTTGTCATAGGTACTCCAGGGGTACCTCTGTGGTTGGAGATAGAATCCAAGCTCCTTCTAGGTGCAAGCGCCCTTACCCCCCTCCCTCTCCGCCCCCTCCCTCCCCCGCCTTGCCGGCCAGGCTCTGACCCACCCTGGGCTTGGACACCTGTTGGCCCTGGCTGGCCCTCCAGGAGGACCACCTTCCCTGACCTCCCCCTTCCCAGCGATCACTGGTCCTGTTCCCCTCCTGCAGGGACTTCCGGAAGTTTTTTGGTTTACTGTTTATTACCCAGTCCTCCCCTGGGGGCAGGGCGGGGTGCAGAGGTGGAGTTCGTTGCCTTCACGTGGCTCTCCCAGAGCATGCCTGGCACCTAGTAAGTGCCCAGTAAATAAGCGTTGACTAAGCAAAGGTCTCTGTCAAACGCGCTCTCTGCGTGTTCCCACAGCGTCTAAGTGTGAGCGCCGAAGTGCCCGCCGCCTTCCCAGGCAGGACTTTTCCTTCAGCACCAGGAGGTGGCATTCGCGAACCTCTCCACCCCAGCGGCAATCAGCACGAGCGGCGGGAGCCGAGGGGCGCTCCTTCCCCGCAGGCGGCCAAGGCACCTTCCCCGGAGGAGGGGCGTTTCCCTTGATCCTACCCAGGCGCCGGCTCCCGGGAGCGCAGGAGGAGGGCGTGGCGTGGGAGCCGCGTAGAAGGTGGAGGCGCGCAGCCTCGGAGCGCCCAGAGATGGCGGGCAGGCAAGTTGAGCAAGTTAACAAGCCTACACACCCGGGACTGGGGCACTGGGGGAGGGTGTCCCGTGCCGTGGCGTCCTGGGGGGTTGGGGGGCTGCGTCCGGGGCTTGGGAACCCCCGCGCGCCGGGCAGGACGGGACGCATGGGGAGGGCACCGAGACACCCCCCGCCAGAGAGCATGGAGAAGAGGCCGCCCTCACCCCGCACCCCGGGCGCCCCCAGTCCTCTCTGGGCCCCCTCCAAACCGCTCTCCGGCCCCCCATCCGGCACCCAGGGCCACTGGCTCCCTGGAGAGCCGAGCACCCTGCGGCCACGGGAGAAGCAGCCCCCCTCGCGACCCCGAGCATTCCGGCCGCAGTGCACGGAGGGCCCGGCGGCGTAGACAGACCCGGGACTCAGGGCAGCGACTCGGGGTGTCTGTTTCCTCGGCGGTCAAAAGGGCTGCGGAGGCCCCAGCCCGGGTGCTCGAGGAGCCACAGCGCGGCACCCAGAGCTGCGGTGTTCCTCCAGCCACCGAGCCAGAGTCGCAGGGAGGATAGTGCGCCCTGTCGTCCCGTCCGGGCGCGCCACTCCCGGCCCGCCCCAGAGAACTGTCGGGCCACAGCTGCCCAGAGTCGGCTCCTCGGTGCCGGGAGTAGGGACCCGGCCCCGCCCCTCTCACTTGGCCCCGCCCCGCCTCCCCTGGCCCCGCCCCCAAGCCAGTAACTGCCACCCCGTTAGCAGCCTCCGAGGAGCCCAGAGGGCCCCAAACCCTGCTGGGAAGGATCCTCCCTGCGGCTGGGCTCTCGGGGAGCACCTACGCTGTGCCCGAGGCGGTGGGGCTCAAGTGGGGCCCGCGGCGGGTCTCGGGGCCTGGCCGCCCGTAGGTAGCGCGGGAATGCGAGAGGTGAGCGCTCGTTAGGTATCCCGGGCCTGGCTCCGCAGGTGCCGATCGCCTGCGGGGCAGCCACACCCGGATCCCGCGAGTGCGGCCCCGACCGAGGAGGCGGGAAGAGAGAAATTCCCGTGCGCGCGGACTGCACCGCGCCTGAAGCCGGGGCCACCACCTGCCACGGCGCGCCGCCCGGGACAGCACGGTGCGCGCACACGCGGGCAGGGGCGGCCACCGAACGCCCGCCCAGCCCCGGCGGCCAATGGCTTTCTGAGCGGCGATCTGGCGTAGGGACTCGCAGCGCCAAGACCCGAAAGCTAACTGCACAAAACGAAAATGGATCCCCCCAAAGGTCTCAGTGCCAGCGGACGCTGGGTCCCTGCACAGAGCCGAGAGGGTCGCCTTCGTCCGCGCCACAGAAACCCTGGCGGCCGGGGTGAAACGGGAACGTCGTTGCTAACCGACCACACCAGGCCCGAGAGAGGCCGGCCTGGCGCGCACCGCCGCCCAGCCACGAAACTGCAGCCGTCGGTTCGCACACGTTCCCGTCACGTTCCCAGCAGGCAGAGAATAATAATAATAGCCGCCACTTAGTAACTGCTATGTGACACCAGCCAAGAGAACCAAGGAGGCGACGTCCAGAACTGTACTCAGCACTGGCTCTCCGCCGGCGCCCGCTGTCCACTGCGATCTTATTTGAACCCGCACAGCAATTCCACGGGGTGGGAGGCTTTTCCACCCAGAGGAGGACACCATGGGCCCTGCGTGCCCGTCAAAAGGCCACGCTTCTGCCCGCTGGCTGCACTTCGGGCGCACACCCACGTTAAGGCCCTGAGCGTGGCCCCGCACGCCTTGGGACCCGGACTCTGAGCCTGCCAGGGTCCCCGACCGCCGGCTCGGGCCGCACTTCACAAGGGAACGGCTGTGCCCTAGGTCGGGGCGCCCAGGTCCAAGCTCCGGACTCAGGTTGCCCCCCGGGAACAAGCTGCGACTTCGCGGCCGGGAAACGACTGACCGGGAGGCCCGGGCGGTTCCCGCGCCCTGACCCGGCACTGTACAGTCCCGCGGGCAGGGAGGGGACCGGGAACCGCCCCTCCGGCAGCGCGCGCAACTCGGCAGCCTCGCGTGTGGCCCCGGGACAGGCCTCGCCACGGCGCCAGCCATTGGTTGGTGAAACCAGAGCAGATTCTCGCGGGCCAAGTCCAGCATTCCGCCCGTGGACTCTGACGTCCCGCTTCTTCCGCCCCTCTGCATCCCAGAGGAGAATGTTCCCGGAAATGTTTTCGTTCCTCCCTCAAGCCTGAGCCCGGGGCGGCCGGGAAGCAGCAAGGCGGGGCGCGGACTGTGACCCCGAAGGTGCCTGCTGAATCCCCGCGCCCTCCCCGCCTGTGCCTCTTCACCGAACGGGGCGCACGGAGTGTGCCAAATGGAGCCTCAAATCTGCATTCTTTCGGTGATAAAATATGTTCTCGTATTTTTTCCTGATTTCCCACTAAAACCTTTGCCTAACTAAACTCCCATCCAACGGGATTTATTTCGTCCCCGGGGAGATAAATCAGGGGGCAAATTTACAGCCCGGGAGGCACCTGCCGGGCTAATGGGCCCTTCATGGAGTGCGCGGCCAGCGGGGGCGCGCGCAGACGGCGGGGGCGCTGGCCAATGGCCGGGCC